CTTTAAGGGTCCCCGTACCACTACCATAGACTGTACATAAAAACTTTTGTTCCCAGCATGTCTATAGATTTGATAAAAAATTACATTATTGGGTGGTTGGGTGGCGCAGAGGATAGCACACTTCCCTTTCACCAAGGCGGCCAGGGTTTGATTCCCCAACTGTATGTGAAAAGGTATGGGGTCACCTGCCCAACCACAGGGTTTCTCCAGGTACTCCAGTTTCCTCCCACATTAAGACACCCCCCACCCCTGTGTGCTAACAGCCGGGCCAACAAGAGTGATTAATGTAAGTTAAACTTGTTTCACAAATATTAAAGTTTATTGATTCTATATATTTATTTTATAAAAAATTACAAAGATGAAATGAGCACAAATAATCAGCAACAGTTCAAATTCTGAGTAACAAATTCAATGGGGCAAGATCAGGATTCAAACCCTGAACCTCCACTCGTTATACTGTGACTCCAACACAACTGAACTACCTGGTCATCGGCAGTACACAGGCAATGTCACGTTACAGTTTTATCCAAAATAAAATTAAGGGGAGGTTACTCTATGCATGAAAAACTACAGTGTTTTGCCTGCAGTGGGACAGGGGTCCTGAGTATTTTCTTTAAAGAAAATCTAGCTAGCATAACTTTTTAGGTCACCTAGCTGAGCTTTCAAACTTAAAGTCAAGTTCTGCTAGGCCGATTGAACTGAAACTTTGTAGGAATGATCGACTCATGGTCCTGACAAAGTGTTGTTATTTTTCGGGGCGATCAGAAATCCAATATGGCCGACACGGCCGCCATTTTGAAAAACTATTTCAAACTTAAAATCAAGTTCTGCTGGGCTGATTGAACTGAAACCTGGTAGGACTGATCGACTCATGGTCCTGACAAAGTGTTGTTATTTTTCGGGGCGATCAGAAATCCAATATGGCCGACACGGCCGCCATTTTGAAAAACTATTTCAAACTTAAAGTCAAGTTCTGCTTGGCAGATTGAACTGAAACTTTGTATGAATGATCGACTCATGGTCCTGACAAAGTGTTGTTATTTTTCAGGAGTGATCAGAAATCCAATATGGCCATTTTGAAAAACTATTTCAAACTTAAAAACAAGTTCTAATAGGCTGATCTAAATGAAAATTGGTCTAGGAAAGATCAGCTCATGGTCCTGACAAACTTAAGTTAACGTTATACTTAACAATTTTTTACTCAAATTGGTACATATTTTAGCAACAAAAATAAATACTGTAGGACTCAGGTGACCGTTAAGGCCCATGGGCCTCTTGTTTGAAAAAGAAAACATTCATGAAGATAAAATAAACAAACAATTAAAATGAACAATAGTGTTCTGAATGTGAAAAGATCAATACAATATGACCAGGATTTGAACAGTTCACTTATTGTCACACTACGGATGCTCAAACCAATTTAACTATCCTATCAGGAATTATATCCAAAAAAGAAATCAAGGGATGGGGTTGAGGATGGATGGGGGGGATGAGGAGGGGGTGGGGGTTACTTTATGTATAAAAACCTACAGTGTGAAATTCTCCTGTATTTGGACACGAATACATTTAATCTGACGAAGCATTATGGAGGAAATCTCTATATAAAAACGTGACAGCATTAAAAGAAAACTACAATCAATACTTATAGCTTTGGTGCATGTCTGTGGCACAGGATCTTCTGGAGTTCAAAGCAGGCTGTGTTTGAACAGTATAATTTGAAAATGTTTTTCATCTTTATCTTTGAATAGAGTTACTTTCCTTCAAAGCCAAAATCTGCTGTTGTTGCCTTGTAATGTAACAGTTTTTTGCATTGTGCCAATAATCCAAAAACACATATATATACTACACTTGTATAGTATATCCATAAAAATGTTAATCACTAGTAAGGTATATACACGTGTAACATGACCCTCATTGCATATGATGACAACAATACACTTTTAAAAAAAAACACCTCATGTTGTGTCAAACATGTAGATACATAAATATGTCCATATTTAATTTCCATCTTTCCAAATATGTGAAAAACAGTAACTGCTTGTTCAGATGCATTATAATATTTTAAATTCCTCATTTCCTTAAAATATGTATTTCGATGTACTCTCTTTATCAGCAGGAACCAGTTAATTACAAATTTGAAATTATCTGTTGAAGTCAAAATTAAAGTTTCAGTGATGTTTTTCGTCCACATGTACAACATTATGTTATTATGGTTTCTTCGATACTTACAATGTCTGATTCTCCAAAACTGTGTTAAAACTGTATTGATGGCGTGCTATCTATAGCATTTGGATCGATGAACATCAATTATTAAACCGAAGGTCAAGGTCACAATTAGAGGACAACATCATATGTAAAGGTTAAGTAATTAACAAGTAAAAGAAATGGTCAGATTTAAAGCACAGGGTTCCCGTCCTTATATGACCCTGGCTGTTGCCAGGACATTAAACCCAAAAGAAACAATCGGAAAGCACAAGGTCATATTAAAAGGTCAAGGTCACATTTACAGGACAGAGTCACATTTAAAGACATGGTTACATTTAAAATATATGCTTAATTGATGTGTGATTTGTTTGAGCACATGCAGGATTCCCTTGTGTTGATGATAACAGTACACATTTGATCTGACCAGGACCAGGTCTAGCAACGAAGATTTTTCCAGGTCACATGATCAAATGTTCACTGATAAGCCCATGCCCAAAAATAAGTCCACCCCTTATTATATAGTGCCATAAATTAGGAAATAATCCCTTCTTGCTCATTCTTTTACCACTCTTTGGAAACTTATCAGAGAAAAAAATAAACCATTAGCCGTATATATGAAAATTAATAAGGATATTATAAAGTTTTGCTGTTTTTTTAAATACACATTTCAATCTTGTTCAGTGAAGGGCCTGGGGCTTACCACACAAGTTAATCATGGTACACTGCATGATGATAAGACTTCTAACATAGGGGGTCACCTTAAATATAATTTGACAAACTCCAGAAAACTATTACAGGTACATGCGTTTATATGCCAGTGGGCACAGGTACAATTTGTACATTGTGTATATAGAGATATCTTACCTTGGAAAGATTGTTTGACCTAGAAAATTGAATTTAGTTGTGATGAGAAGGTAATGGTGGATGTTGACCTTGAGGCCTAAATGTAACGTACTGGGATCGGATTTCCTTGTAATCCAGTCTATCTATACCTACCTAACACATTTCTAAACATCTCTACACCTCTATACGGGCTGACAAACACCATATACCTAAGATCACAGGTAAAGGAGTTGACAGCTCCCTAGGGGGCTATTGTCTCCGCTCCCTGATACTGATCTGCGGCCCCAGGTTCCTTAATGGTGTTCAAAGCCTCACAAGGGCTGTTACATGTCTGGAGAATCCTTAATTGTGTAATGTAAATATTGTTGTATCATTATAGCTCTGTCTGGGGTGTAAAACATGAATATTCATGGCGCTATAGGTCATTTAAATGTAAAATGTTGCATGTTTTGTTAAGATTTCTAGTTTAAAAATAGTGTGTAATTTACAATTACATAATACCTTCTAAATTCCTAGTGCCTTCCAATTACTATGTAGAAATGTAAAAAGCATGAAAATTTGGCTTTTAACATATAATGTAGTCCTGTTATTTATACATGCAACACTTAAGGAGTTTATTCAACGGTATATATATTTTTTTGTATATAAATATTTCTCCTCGGGCATGGAGGCTTCAGAATACCTGCGGCTAACAGTTGATTATCTTTACTAGGTTACAATGAAGACATCAAACAGAAATTCACATGGAAATGAAATGACAAAGTTAGAGTGTTGTAAACGCATAACAATAGACTTAGCTTTACATGGTAAAGTGTGTTTTGTCAGGGACATCTCTATCACATGGTCAAGATCATATATGTGTGTGCATGCAGTGATGCTTGAATTTACTAACATCAACAAGGACTTAATCAAAGCTACTCATTTCTTTTGGACATAAAATTATATAATTGAGATATACATACTTTAAGTCAATTGTCGAGAAATATAAGAGGTCAGTTGTCAGGAAAAACAGGTTTTTGTAAAGTCAGGTTTCTGTAAAATCAGGTTTCTGTATGATCAGTTGTCAGAAAATTCATCTGCAAAAACAAATTATAAATACTTATTAGTAAGTAGATGTTTGTAAATGTATGATGTGTTCATAAGATGCAGATATCTTATGTATTGTCCTGAATAAAAAAACTTGTAACTAGTATACGAGTATCAGTGTGTAAATTGATATCCTAATCCCTTACCCAGGGAACTATCTAAGTTAGGTGTATCATTGTATATACATACAGCGAAAAAACTTTAACCTTCAACTTGTTACTAGGTACGATTTCAAATTCATTTAAAAAAGGTTTCAGTGTTTTGTTTCAGAGTTTTATATTGACATAATGTCATAGTGTTTGCTCGGATCAGTCGCAGAGTGGTACGTAGTAAGGAGGGGGATGAAGGGGGGAAATGTCTGTGGTTTGGGCACCATGGCCTCTAAATGAGAGGAAGTAGCCTTTTCAAACTGGAGAGGTATACAAATGCTTTAAGTGAGAGTCAAATTCCCAGCATGATCTGACGTTTTGTTTAGTTTATTTAGAGAATTCAATTTAGCATTCAAATTATTGATTATAGGGAAAAATCTATTTGTTCTATAATGAAAAATGAAAGAAATATATGTATCTACATGTTTGACACAACATGAGGTGGGTTTTTTTTAAAGTGTATTGTTGTCATCATATGCGATGAGGGTTCATGTTACACGTGTATATACCTTACTAGTGATTAGTGATAGGGATAATTTGCCTGTAATTATACCTGGTGGAATGGAGCCCCCTATACGAGAGCGTAACACAACTTATCGCCCATCTCAGTTCCCCGGCCTATAGCCTGATCATGGCCATTTGGACAGAAACGATCCATCCCCGCCATTTCTTACCAATTTAAATGGCCAAGACTTAAGCACTTAGAGTATTTTGCGTGGAATGCCAGTGTTAGGGATATTTGGTTTTGACAGTTAAGACAAATCGTATCAGTGAGTGACAGAGTTTTAGTACAGCGGTGCCTGTTACGACCAGACACGAATTGTCACAGAGTACGGCTCGGCCCTGAGGTATACACAAAATTGGTCTCTACACATACGGCCCTACATACAACACTACAGACTTAAATGGAAGTCAATAGGCCTCAATCTCCCTGCCCCTTCAATGGAATAACAATGACATGCATCATTGCTCTGGACACGGGATATTTCGGGTCATCTCTCGGGGCAGGTTTTAGGTAATTACCTGTGTGTGGACACCTTGATTCTGGGTGTATCTACTTGAGTCCGGGTTAGGGATATGTTTGAAAGTCTACTGTCATCATACTATCTAGATTGGGGCTGTGATTATCACCTACTACTGTCTGCATTATCTTCTGACAGGCCAAAAGTTCAATTGATTCTTTGATTTTAATCAAGTTTCTGCGGATGTGCTTCAGTGATGCTGGGATGTTAAAGTGGGTGAATTTCGGTCGTAAACTTGATCGCAGAAATATGTGGAAAATGTACTGGTCAGTGGTGATTGTGTTATAGCTACAAGTTGATGAGAGTGAACAGGTGTGAATTCATACAGGGATTTGTCCAAACGAACACAGGGGCTTAAATATATACAGCGCCTCCAGGAAATATTACCCAAATAAGATGTTTCAGATGAAATTTTGTTGGATGTAAGAGTTCGAGACAGTTCTGTGTATTGGGCTACCTGTACGAATATCTATATATGTACACCGGATTGCCAGCAGGTATCGGCATCATGTACAGGTAAACAAAACTGTCGGTAATCAGGACACTGAAATATCTGTCATTTTCGACGAGTATGTTTATGTCCTGAGCTACTTGCTTTATGATTCATGTGTATATTGTATGATATGATCTATGACACTTATCTGGGGATAATTTGTGATATTTATAGATATATGTAAACATCCGATTAGGATGATATCCATCCTGCTCATATTTATTGTTTGATGATCGCGACAGTCTCCTTCGACATTCAGATAATAGCACTATATTACCTGTAGTGTGTACCTGTTTGTAGTAGCTGTTATTTACCTGTGTGCCTGTAATAATGTTATGTAACAAGGAGTCGTGTTTACCTGTGATATAGGAATATTTAAATGAGCCAATAAACAGTAGGCTTTGTGGTTACATAATAATGATAAATGTGTAAACAATCAACCTTACCCAATGCTCTGTGGGCATCCTTAACCCCCAGCAAAGTGTAAACCTATCTTCCCCCATCATCATTCTATATGTCTGCTATCCTATCCCCACCTCATAACAGCCCAACCTCAACCCAATTACATCATATGTATTGCCTATTGCATTGTCTGAAACCCATCCTCACTATTGAAACATTATTACGCATCACCACCTCTATACACATCACCTCTATATACATCACCTCTATACACATCACCTCTATACACATCACTACCTCTATATACATCATCACCTCTATACACATCACCTCTATATACATCACCACCTCTATACACATCACCTCTATATACATCACCTCTATACACATCACCTCTATACACATCACTACCTCTATACACATCACCTCTATATACATCACCTCTATACACATCATCTCTATACACATCACTACCTCTATATACATCACCTCTATATACATCACCTCTCTATATACATCACCATCTCTATATACATCACCAACTCTATATACATCACCACTTCTATAAACATCACGACCTCTATATACATCACCATCACTATATACATCACCATCTCTATATACATCACCATCTCTATATACATCACCACCTCTATATACATCACCTCTATACACATCACCTCTATACACATCACTACCTCTATACACATCACCTCTATATACATCACCTCTATACACATCACCTCTATACACATCACTACCTCTATATACATCACCTCTATATACATCACCTCTATACACATCACCTCTATACACATCACTACCTCTATATACATCACCTCTATATACATCACCTCTATACACATCACCTCTATACACATCACTACCTCTATATACATCACCTCTATATACATCACCTCTATACACATCACCTCTATACACATCACTACCTCTATATACATCACCTCTATATACATCACCTCTATACACATCATCTCTATACACATCACTACCTCTATATACATCACCTCTATATACATCACCTCTCTATATACATCACCATCTCTATATACATCACCAACTCTATATACATCACCACTTCTATAAACATCACGACCTCTATATACATCACCATCACTATATACATCACCATCTCTATATACATCACCATCTCTATATACATCACCACCTCTATATACATCACCTCTATACACATCACCTCTATACACATCACTACCTCTATACACATCACCTCTATATACATCACCTCTATACACATCACCTCTATACACATCACCACCTCTATATACATCATCACCTCTATACACATCACCTCTATATACATCACCACCTCTATACACATCACCTCTATATACATCACCTCTATACACATCACCTCTATACACATCACCACCTCTATATACATCATCACCTCTATACACATCACCTCTATATACATCACCACCTCTATACACATCACCTCTATATACATCACCTCTATACACATCACCTCTATACACATCACCACCTCTATATACATCATCACCTCTATACACATCACCTCTATACACATCATCTCTATACACATCACTACCTCTATATACATCACCTCTATATACATCACCTCCTCTATATACATCATCACCTCTATATACATCACCACCACTATATACATCACCACCTCTATATACATCACCACCTCTATATACATCACCATCTCTATATATATCACCTCTATATACATCATCTCTATATACATCACCTTTATATACATCACCACCTCTATATACATCACCACCTCTATATACATCACCATCTCTATATATATCACCTCTATATACATCATCTCTATATACATCACCACCTCTATATATATCACCTCTATATACATCATCTCTATATACATCACCTTTATATACATCACCACCTCTATATACATCACCATCTCTATATACATCACCATCTCTATATATATCACCTCTATATACATCATCTCTATATACATCACCTTTATATACATCACCACCTCTATATACATCACCATCTCTATATACATCACCATCTCTATATATATCACCTCTATATACATCATCTCTATATACATCACCATCTCTATATATATCACCTCTATATACATCATCTCTATATACATCACCTTTATATACATCACCACCTCTATATACATCACCATCTCTATATACATCACCTCTATACACATCACCTCTATACACATCACCACCTCTATATACATCACCACCTCTATACACATCACCTCTATATACATCACCACCTCTATACACATCACCTCTATATACATCACCTCTATACACATCACCTCTATACACATCACCACCTCTATATACATCATCACCTCTATACACATCACCTCTATATACATCACCACCTCTATACACATCACCTCTATATACATCACCTCTATACACATCACCTCTATACACATCACTACCTCTATACACATCACCTCTATATACATCACCTCTATACACATCACCTCTATACACATCACCACCTCTATATACATCACCACCTCTATACACATCACCTCTATATACATCACCACCTCTATACACATCACCTCTATATACATCACCTCTATACACATCACCTCTATACACATCACCACCTCTATATACATCATCACCTCTATACACATCACCTCTATATACATCACCACCTCTATACACATCACCTCTATATACATCACCTCTATACACATCACCTCTATACACATCACCACCTCTATATACATCATCACCTCTATACACATCACCTCTATATACATCACCACCTCTATACACATCACCTCTATATACATCACCTCTATACACATCACCTCTATACACATCACCACCTCTATATACATCATCACCTCTATACACATCACCTCTATATACATCACCACCTCTATACACATCACCTCTATATACATCACCTCTATACACATCACCTCTATACACATCACTACCTCTATACACATCACCTCTATATACATCACCTCTATACACATCATCTCTATACACATCACTACCTCTATATACATCACCTCTATATACATCACCTCTCTATATACATCACCATCTCTATATACATCACCAACTCTATATACATCACCACTTCTATAAACATCACGACCTCTATATACATCACCATCACTATATACATCACCATCTCTATATACATCACCACCTCTATATACATCACCACCTCTATATACATCACCATCTCTATATACATCTTCACCTCCATATACATCATCATCTCTATATACATCATCACCTCCATATACATCATCATCTCTATATACATCATCACCTCTATATACACCACCTCTATATACATCACCACCTCTATATACATCCTCTCTATATACATCACCATCTCTATATATATCACCACCTCTATATACATCACCTCTATATACATCACCACCTCTATATACATCACCTCTATATACATCACCATCTCTATATACATCACCACCTCTATATACATCACCTCTATATACATCACCACCTCTATATACATCACCTCTATATACATCACCATCTCTATATACATCACCACCTCTATATACATCACCTCTATATACATCACCACCTCTATATACATCACCTCTATATACATCACCATCTCTATATACATCACCACCTCTATATACATCACCTCTATATACATCACCACCTCTATATACATCACCTCTATATACATCACCATCTCTATATACATCACCACCTCTATATACATCACCTCTATATACATCACCACCTCTATATACATCACCTCTATATACATCACCACCTCTATATACATCACCTCTATATACATCACCACCTCTATATACATCACCTCTATATACATCACCACCTCTATATACATCACCTCTATATACATCACCATCTCTATATACATCACCACCTCTATATACACCACCTCTATATACATCACCTCTATATACATCATCATCTCTATATACATCACCTTTATATACATCACCACCTCTATATACATCATCTCTATATACATCACCACCTCTATATACATCACCTCTATATACATCACCACCTCTATATACACCACCTCTATATACATCACCTCTATATACATCACCATCTCTATATACATCACCTCTATATACATCACCACCTCTATATACATCACCTCTATATACATCACCATCTCTATATACATCACCACCTCTATATACATCACCTCTATATACATCACCACCTCTATATACATCACCTTTATATACATCACCATCTCTATATACATCACTTTTATATACATCACCATCTCTGTATACATCACCTTTATATACATCACCATCTCTATATACATCACCACCTCTATATACATCACATCTATATACATCACCTCTATATACATCACCATACATCACCACCTGTATATACATCACCATCTCTATATACATCACCACCTCTATATACATCACCTCTATATACATCACCACCTCTATATACATCACCTCTATATACATCACCTCTATATACATTACCTCTATATACATCACCACCTCTATATACATCACCTCTATATACATCACCACCTCTATATACACCACCTCTATATACATCACCTCTATATACATCACCATCTCTATATACATCACCTTTATATACATCACCATCTCTATATACATCATCTCTATATACATCACCACCTCTATATACATCACCTCTATATACATCACCATCTCTATATACATCACCTCTATATACATCACCATCTCTATATACATCACCTCTATATACATCACCATCTCTATATACATCACCTCTATATACATCACCATCTCTATATACATCACCTCTATATACATCACCATCTCTATATACATCACCTCTATATACATCACCATCTCTATATACATCACCTCTATATACATCACCATCTCTATATACATCACCACCTCTATATACATCACCATCTCTATATACATCACCTCTATATACATCACCATCTCTATATACATCATCATCTCTATATATATCACCACCTTTATATACATCATCTCTATATACATCATCTCTATATACATCACCTCTATATACATCACCATCTCTATATACATCACCTCTATATACATCACCTCTATATACATCACCTCTATATATATCACCACCTCTATATACATCACCTCTATATACATCACCTCTATATACATCATCATCTCTATATATATCACCACCTCTATATACACAACCTCTATATACATCACCTATATATACATCACCTCTATATACATCACCACCTTTATATACATTACCTCTATATACATCACCTCTATATACATCACCTCTATATACATCATCATCTCTATAAACATCACCATACATCATCACCTCTTTATACATCACCTTTATATACATCACCACCTCTATATACACCACCTCTATATACACCACCTCTATATAAATCACCATACATCACCACCTTTATATACATCATCACCTCTATATACATCACCTCTATATAAATCACCATACATCACCACCTGGCTGATTTCCAGGATCACAATATCGCAAAAGCCTCTTCTGTTGTAAAGGAAGAGAAAAAAAACATCGGTATAAATACCTAGATATACTGGTCCTCTTGGTCTCTTACATTTCATTAGGAGAGAGAAAAGTCATGCATTTGAACAAAGTTCTGGATATGAGCCCCCAAAACGTGAAACCAGCTTCCTAACATTAAACTGCTATGTTATCTGAGTTTTGCAGACTACTGAAATACTGCAGTGTAGTATTGTCTTAAGGATCAATGTACCACTGATAAAAACTGAATCCAAGTGTTGGAGACTATTTTCCAGCATGACTATATAGCTTTGATAAATTTTTTCTGAAAGAATACCATACTGTGCGGAACTTTTATGGGAAATACTAAAAATAAAAGCAACAAAATATAATCAACAACAGTGTTCCGAATATTAAAACAAAATCAGCATGGCTAGACTAAGATGTAAACCCTGGTCTTAACCGTTTCACCACTATAGACCATAATGGACTCATCCATATCAATGCATGGTAGAGTCTACTAAAGTTACATAGGGGTGAAAGGGTTAATATTGATATATTGTTCTCACCAATAGAGCTACCTGGTCATAGGAAGTGTCCTGGTCCAACTGTGCTACGTTTATATCCAAATGGAAATTAAGGGGAGGTTACTATATAAAAGAAAACCACTGCAGTGGTACAGGGAACCTTAAGGTAAAGGGCACCACTGCAGTGGTACAGGGACCCTTAAGGTAAAGGGCACCATTGCAGTGGTACAGGGCCCCCTTATATATAGATAATTAAGGTAAAGGGCACCACTGCAGCGGTACAGGGTCCCTTAAGGTAAAGGGCACCATTGCAGTGGTACAGGGCCCCCTTATATATAGATAATTAAGGTAAAGGGCACCACTGCAGCGGTACAGGGACCCTTAAGGTAAAGAGCACCACTGCAGTGGTACAGGGACCCTTAAGGTAAAGGGCACCACTGCAGTGGTATAGGGACCCTTAAGGTAAAGGGCACCACTGCAGTGGTGCAGGGACCCTTAAGGTAAAGGGCACCACTACAGTGGTACAGGGACCCTTAAGGTAAAG